GTGATGATGGCCGTGCTGCTGGTGGATGTGGGCATGCGCCACGGGGGAGTATGGGCCTGAGGGGAACCATCAGACACATCAGCATGCCACCACAGGTTCTCAGCGCAAACGCGCTGCGGCCGAGTATGAAGGCGCTGGCGGGCATGACGGGAAGCGTCGGCGGCCTGAGGGTGAGGACTCCAAGGGGGGGCGCTTCTCCTGGGAAGACATTGCGGATGCAGAAGAGATGCCGACCTACGTGACACCACAACTGCTGTGGCGGGCGTTGAGGGAGGCCATAGGGAAGATCCAGGAGTTTAAGGGAGAGCGGGATCGAGGCCTTCCGCGACTCGCTTCCGCATCCAGCGGCCCCGATACCGGCACGGATCTGGTGGGCGAGAGCACGGGGATGGCAGTGGTGCAACGGAAGAAGGGCATGCCCTCGCTGAAGAAGATTGGGGTGAGTCATCAATGAATCGCTCTTCCTTGCAAGGCAAGACTTGCATGTCGACTTGGTGTCCATTGCTTGTACGTGCCCCACTTACAACCGCTCGGCTGGCCTGACAGAATCTGGTGACAATTTCCTTTGCGTTGGATCTCGTCATCCTCAGGCCCGTGCGACCCTCTCCCTCCTGCCCTTGTCCACAGGTTCTCTCCATCCAGCGCATGGCCCCAAGTTCTCCTCCTCGTGAGCTTGCCCTGTATGTCCTTTCCCCCTTACCCTCCCCCCTGCCCCCGCCCACAGGTTCTCTCCCTCCTGCCCTTACCGTGAGATATCTCCCTCATGGGAATGCCATGTATGCTCTTGGCCACCGACCCTCTCCCCCCTGCTGTTGCCCACAGGTTCTCTGTCTCACCCCCATTCTGCCCACAGGTTCTCCCCCTGATGTCGATGCCCTCATTGCCTTTGCCTGCCTACCCTGTCCATCCTGCCCTTGCCCACAGATCACTCACATGCCATTGGCCGGTGGTTGTCCACCTCATGACCTTGCCCTGTGTGCCCTTGCCCGCCCACCCTCTCCTTCCTGCCCTTACAGACAGGTTCTCTCCCTCTTGCCCTTCTCCACATGTTCTCTCCCTCCTGCCCTCTGTCCGCAGGTTTGCTCGCTCATGTCGTTACCCTGGATGCCCCTGCCAGCCTACCCTGTTCCTCGTGCCCCTATCCACACGTTCTCTCCATCCTTTCATTGACCTCGAGATCTCTCCCTCATGTCGCTGCCCTTGCCCGCCTACTCTCTCCCTCCTGCCCCTTCCCACAGGTTCTCTGCCTCTGGCAACAAGGAGTACTTCTCCCTCCATCCTTTGCATGTTTGTTCCCCTCCCTCCCACCCATACCCATAGCTTCTCTCATTCCTGGTGTGGCACACAAGTTCTCTCCACATCTCACCTGCTTTTTGGCATCTGCTTTGCTGCCATTTCCCCTCCGTCTCCCCATGCCTCTGGTTGTCTGTCCCCGCCCTCTCTCCCCCCCATTCCCCCCCCCCCCCGACGCCCATCCGTCCACAGATCCATTACGAAACCTCGCGCGACCGGATGTGCATCGATGCGCCTGATGCGGGCATTGACTTCTACACGACCTTCTACCTCCGCATGGTGGACCTTCACACGGTTTTGGTGATGGAGGGCTACGACGTGTCTTTCGTGGCTGTTCAGGAGGCAATGACCGACAACAACTACAACGATAAGTTCAAGCGTGTATGGACGCAGTGGAAGAACGAGCGGGGGTTCCTGATCAAGAGGCGGGTGTTGACGGAGCTAGGGGTGAAGGTCAAGTGGGCGAGGGGCTCCAAGATCCATGTGGACCTTGATGACAAGATGGCCCTCTGGCATGACTTCAAGCCTCGTAAGTACTCATGTAGCTGCGCGGTCACAGTTGTTTAGTAGGGCGCATGTCATTGAAGTTAATACCTCGTGTTCACTCCCCATATCCTCACACCATTTGAGCATCATGCACCTCCATCTGTGCTGCCGTTACCCCCAACAGGAAGGAGGTTTGGGCAGTTGGTGAGCACCTGGGGCTCGGCGAAGCCACCCCCAGGGGTGCACTCCGGGCAGCCTTTTGCCAACAAGATCTTCTTTCAGGCGGCGTTCGATGCGTTTCAGCAGTGGGCTGTGGCGGGGAAGCTCTGTCTGAAGGCGTATCACATTGCCTGGATTATCATGGTGGTAAGTGGCGGGGAGCGCGCCTTAAAGGACGCCGTGGCTTGGGCTCTAGTATCCTCCCGATTGTGCTCGGCTCATGCAACCCCATTCCCGTCCCCCACCTCCCTGACCCTTTTACAAACCCCCTCGGCCACCCTCTTCCCCAGGTCGACTATGGGCTGACCCGCCGCAGGCACACCACGATGGGCCTCTCTAACTCACACCCCAAGAACAAGGCCTGGATAACGGACCTTCACAAGAGGGTGCGACAGGTGGTCATTGACCACTTCAGCAACTACCCCAAGGAGTACAGCAAGGACATGCGGGGGTGGAAATGGGGAGAGTATGGACTTTACGTCCATGAGAGTGGCTTCAAGGACGAGTGGCAGGAACCAGGGAGGGAGGGCAAGGGGAAGGCGCCCAAAGGTGGAGAGGGAGAGGCTAAGGATTAAGGGTCCTTTTGCAGGGGTGAGGCAGGTATGTGCAGGGGTGGCATCACCACACCGTTCAGGGCAGGGGACGGATACAACTGGGACGGAAGTGGAGCCAAGTATTGGCGTGGGCTCTGGAGGGAAGGGTCTGTCAGCATCATTCTGAAGGGGCAGCCATCCCACAATGGGAGGGGCTTATTGCAAGCGCCAGTACTGGCGTGTGCTGGGTTCATAACCATGGGGTGTTTGCAGATGCATGATGTGGCAGCGTCGTTTGAGGGGTGGGGTGCTGGCAGCGAAATGATGTGAAACAGGTGGGCTGGGCGGGTGGTGTGCGGGGCTTTCAGGACCAGCAGGTTGGGGTGGGGGCGCTCGAGGGCGGGTTCCTTTTGAGGGATGTGAGTGGCCTTGACATTTGGGTATCACACTATAGTGGGTATTGATAAAGCCGCTCACAGCAGCGGCAAGAACTGGAAGTTGTGGTTGGGAGCATTTGTGATATGAGGCACCGGCAGCAGCGCATGAGTGGGTTCGGCATCAGGCTGTGGTGGGGGGGGGGAGTTAAAGGGTTGAGGCAACAGCGGGCGCGAGGAATGGATATGAGCATCAGCTTGGGGAGGGGGGGATAGGGGACTGGGGGATGAGGCACAGGTGGCAGCAGCAAGGGAGGGGTCTCAGCAGCAGCCTGTGGTGGGGGGAGAGGGGATTCGGGGAATGAGGCACAGGTGGCAGCAGCAAGGCAGGGGTCTCAGCCGCAGCCTAGGGTGGGGGGAGGGATTCGGGGAATGAGGCACAGGTGGCAGCAGCAAGCGAGGGGTCTCAGCAGCAGCTTCGGGTGGGGGGAGAGGGGATTTGGGGAATGAGGCACAGGTGGCAGCAGCAAGGCAGGGGTCTCAGCAGCAGCCTTGGGGGGAGGGGGGAGAGGGGATATGGAGAATGAGGCACAGGTGGCAGCAGCGAGGGAGGGGTCTCAGCAGCAGCCTGTGGTGTGGGGGGGGGGGGGGGGGGGGGGGGATGAACGAACCACAAGCAGCAGCAGGGCCAGACTCATACCTTGGTGGTTAGCTAGGTTTATCATAGCTGCAGCGGCAGCGGTGGGAGTAGGTGGGGGCTTGCAGCAGCAGTATGTGCTCTCTCAACGAGGAAGGAGGGGGTTGATGCCATCGTACGGGTCGTTTCCGATTTACTTCCAGGGTAGTGGTCCTTTTGTCCGGATGCGGTTGGTAGGGCGATCACAGCTTGGATGCGGGTAGAGGTCTAAACCCTGAGATTTTGTGTCACTGATGTGTTTTCTTGTGACACTGATGTGTTTCTTCTACTGGCCATCTATACCAATTAATGAGCCTAATATCTGTGGCAATGGAGTACTAGCGGATGTGGCAGTAACGGATATAGAATGTACCAAAAAAAGGACAACAACACGCCTCAAACACAATGAATAGATGTAAGCGTGACGCGAACAAACTTGTAATGGTCTTCGTGCACAGTACAAAAGTTCTCTTCCAGCATGACCGCATGGTGACGTGGAGGTGTTATCGCGTACGACCAAATAACATCAGCGCGGTGTCGGCAAACCATCTGCGTGGCGTTTGACAAACCATTTGAGTGGTGTTTGACAAACCATCTGCGAGGTCTTTCCAACTTACACCGCGAAGTGTTTGGACCCACCAATTTGGAAACCACCTGAAAGGTGTTCGCAACAACACTGCGCAAATGCTTTTTCGGACACTGAATTTTTGCGATGTGCCCTCGCTGCACTGCTGCAAGTGACGGTCCGTTTTAACCCCTGTTCCCATGCCCTCACCCTTTCCTATCAGTCCTCGTGTCTCCATACTCCTACCACTCCTCCTACTACTCCTACCTCCAGGATGGTTCTAGAAGATGTCGTTTCTGGCGAAATACCCGAGTCGGTTGGGGATCTGGCAAAGCTGTCGATCATGTATGTCCCCCTCCCATGCCAAAGTCATGCCATGCCTTTCCCGAATCATGACAACTGTATGTATGAGTGCTGCTCTATGTGAAAACCAAGGCATGCAATGTAACCTTGGCGCTCCAAGAAAGAATGAATGCATGCCATGTGTTCAGGGTTTAGGGTTTAGGGACGCCTCCTTTCTATGTCCGAAAGATTCCTTGCCAAGTACCTTCCCCCTCTCCCTCCTGCCTCCCTTTCTCTTCCCCTGTGCTGCAAAACACGTCTCGGTTCACCAGAGTGATAAGAGGCACTGGTAGCCGGAGTGCCAACTATGGCCTAACTGGTGCTATTCCAGAGTCCATCAGCCAGCTGACGGGCCTTGTTGAGCTGTAAGTGAATCTTTGAGGCGCGTAAAGAATAAAAAACCAACTGTGGCCTATTTGGTGGTGGTATTCCAGAGTCCCTCAGCCAGCTAACAGACCTTGCTCAGCTGTGAGTGAATCTTTCACCCTCGATGAAACCTCCAGCCCTCCACTGCACTTCCCTTTTCATGATTGTTCTTATCTAGTAAAGGTTGAGAGTGTATTGGTTTGGCTTCGCCTTATTCCTTGCCTGTAGTATGAGGTTCCCTCCTCCTTCTCTGCTCTTGAGGCGCCTCAATCGCACTTGTTGTCCACGCACATGCCTCTTCCTTCCTCCATCCCGGCTGTGCAGAGAGTTGTCAAATGTTAGGCTCATCGGCGACATTCCTTCAGTGCTCTTCACTCTTCCACGCCTCACCCGCATGTGCGTTCCCTTACCCCACATCGCATCACACTACCAACTTGCTACAGCCGTTCTCGTGTTTGTCCAGCACTTGGCTTCTGCTCTGTTCAACCAGTGGGTGGCTCCCAGTTGATTGGGGGCCTGTCAAGCAAAGCTGTCTATCTTGTGTGTCCTCTTCGTATGCCCAAATGCCTGCTATGCATGGCTGCTGCGCTATGCCAAATGCCTGCTATGCATGGCTGCTGTGCTATTTCAAATGCCCGCTATGCATGGCTGCTGCGGTATGCCAAATGCATGCCAAGTATGTCTGCCGCACCATGCCAAAAGCATGCCAGGTGTGCCCCCCCCCCCACTTCTTCCAAGCCAAGCCCCCGCCTCCTCTCCCTACCGTCCCCCTCTCCCTTGGCCCTTGGTTGCAAAAAAATGGTTGGCTCACGTGGTGCACTCCGTCCATCAGGGTCGTGGGCGGCTACAATGCCCAGCCTTGTTCCATTCCACGATCCATCAGCCAGCTAACCAACCTTGTGGAGCTGTAAGTAAACCCACTGCATCACGGATACACTAAACTCACGGGTGTGCGGGGATGCAGGGGGATACACATCTCTCTCTCGCCCTCCCTTACCCCCTGCATCCCCGCACACCCGTTTTTATGATTGTCTTACTGCTTGGCTTGAGGGTTGTTGGTTTGGCCTTGAGATGTTTCTCGTCACCTTCCACTCTGCTTTGGGGCACGTCAACCGCACGCCTCTTCCTCCCTCCACCTCGGCTGTGCAGAGAGTTGTCAAACGTGGGGCTCACTGACGGCGGCGTTCCCTCAGAGCTCTTCACTCTTACAGACCTCACCCGTGTGTGCGTTCCCTTACCCCACATTGCTCCTCTCTCTTGCTCCAACGAGTCCCTTCTTGAGGGTGTGTTTGTGTGTTAACGTTCATCAGTTTATTCAGCATTCGTTTGCCCAGCACATGGCTTCCACTCTGTTCAAACATCGCATGGCTCCCACCCAGTCCATCGGGGGTCTGTGGAGCAGAGCTGTCTATCATGTGTGTCCATCCTCTCCTCCCAAGCCAAATGCATGCCACGTGTGTCCGCCCTCCCACTTCTTCCATGCCAAACCCCTTGCCCCTCTCCCTCCCATCCCGCTCCCTCCCATCCCCCGCTCCCCCCTGGCTGCAAAAACCATGCCTTGGCACATTAGAATCATAAGGGACAACGGTTACCAGCCTTTTTCTATTTCAGAGCCCATCAGTCAGCTAATCAACCTTGCTGAGCTGTAAGTAAACCCACTATTCCCAACCCCTCTCCAAGCCCGCTTCCTCCCCTGCTCGCCTGTATTCGTGATTGCTTTTGAGAGTAAATGAATTTGACTTTCGTTTATTTCTTGCCTCTACCATGAGGCTCCCTCCTTCCACTCTGGTTTTGGTGCACCTCAAACGCATGCCTCTTCCTCCCCCCGCACACCGGCTGTCCAGAGAGTTGTCCAACGTTGAGCTCACTGACAGCGTTCCGCCAGCGCTCATCACTCTGACACACCTCACCCGCATGTGCGTTCCCCCACCCGCATGTGCGTTCCCCCACCCGCATGTGCGTTCCCCCACCCGCATGTGCGTTCCCCACCCGCATGTGCGTTCCCCCACCCGCATGTGCGTTCCCCCACCCACATCGCTTCCCTCTCATGCTCCGGATAATCTCTGCGTTTCTTGAGGGTGTGTTCAATATTCATCAACTCATTCAGCATTCGTTTGCCCAGCATATGGCTTCCGCTCTGCTCAAACAACGTATGGCTCCCAGTCGACTGGGGGTATGTCAAGTAGAGCAGTCTATCTCGTGTGTCCTCCTCTCCTCCCATGCCAAATGCATGCCATGGCATCATGTATGTATGTCTGGCATCATGTATGTATGGCTGGCATCATGTATGTATGTCTGGCATCATGTATGTATGTCTGGCATCATGTACGTATGTCTGGCATCATGTATGTATGTCTGGCATCATGTATGTATGTCTGGCATCATGTATGTATGTCTGGCATCATGTATGTATGTCTGGCATCATGTATATATGTCTGGCATCATGTATGTATGTCTGGCATCATGTATGTATGTCTGGCATCATGTATTATGTCTGGCTCATGTATGTATGTCTGGCATCATGTATGTATGTCTGGCATCATGTATGTATGTCTGGCATCATGTATGTATGTCTGGCATCATGCCTGCCAAATGCATGCCATGTGTGTCCCCCTTCTCACTTCATCCATGCCAAGCCCCTGCCCCCTCTCCCTCCCGGCCCCTCTCCCTCCCGGCCCCCTCTCCTCCCCGCCCCCTATCCTCCCATCCCATCCCCTCTCCCTCCCCCGTCCCATTCTCCCTTCCCTCTGTTTGCAAAAAACGTCTTGGTCCACCAGAATCATAAGAGGCAACAGTGAATATTACCAGTCTTACTACTCCCAGTCTTTCTCTTTAACGCAGTCCATCCACTCAGCTAGCCAACCTTGCTGATCTGTAAGTAAATCTAGTACTCCCAGGTCCTCTCCAAGCCTCCTCCAGCCCTGTGCGCCCGTTTTCACGATTCCTTTTAGTTAAGTAACGGTTGAGAAAGTATCAATCTGGCTTCTGCTTCGTGCCTGTGCCATGAGGCTCGATCCCTCCCACTCTGCCTTTGATGCATCTAAACTGCATCCCTTGCACACACGGATGGCTCCCTCCCTCTCCCCACACCGGCTGTGCAGAGAGTTGTCCAGCATTGACCTCACTGACGGCATCCCTTCAGAGCTCTTCACTCTTACACACCTCACCCGCGTGTGCGTTCCCCTACCCCACTTTGCTCCTCTCTCTTGCTCCCACGTGCCTCTGCATTTCTCGAGGGTGTTTAAAGCGCGTATGGCTCCCACTTGATTGGGGTATTCAAGGAGAACTGTCTATCTTGTGTGTCCTTCCTCCCATGCAAAGTGCATGCCATGCCATGTATGCACATCTGCAGCATCATGCCACATGGATGCCATCTATGTGTGTCCCCTCTCGCACTTCTTCCAATCCACGCCCCTACCTCCTCTCCCTACTGTCCTCCTCTTCTTCCCCTGGTTGCAAAAACCATGTCTTGGCGCACCAGAGTCATAAGGACCGAAGACTACTCGTCTTTTTCTTTTCCAGCGTCCATCAGTCAGCTCACCAACCTTGTTGAACTGTAAGTATCCTACTCGTCTCTTGCCCTCCCCCAAACCCCCTTCACCCCTCCACTCCTGTTTTCATGATTGCTTCATTCAGTAAGTACTGGTTGAGAGTTGATTGGTTTTGCTTTGACTTGTTGGTCGCCTGTGCTATGACGCTCCCTTTTTCCACTCTGCTTTTAAGGCACCTCAACCACATGGCTTGCTTCGTCCTCAACCGTGTGCCTCGTCCTTCCTTCCTTCACTCCGGTTGTGGTGCAGTGAGTTGGCAAGGCTGGATCTCACTGGGGCATACCGTCAGCGCTCTTCGACCTCACACACCTCACCCGCATGTGCGTTTCCGTGCTCTACGTTGCTCGTCTCTCCTGCTCCAGCACTCCTTGGCATTTCTTGTGTATTCATTGATCTTCTCTAGCCTTCGCTGGCCAATCATACGGTTCCTGCTCTGTTAAAAAACATGTGCTCCGGTTGATCAAGAGTCTGGACGAGGAAACTGTCGATCATGTATGCAGCTCCTCCCACGACATGCGTAAGTGCTGGACCATGCTGAAGCCGAAGCGAGGCCATGTGCTCCTCTTCGTCCATCACGATCACCTGCTCTCTCTCTCTCTCTCTCTCTCTCTCTCTCTCTCTCTCTCTCTCTCTCTCTCTCTCTCTCTCTCTCTCTCTCTCTCTCTCTCTCTCTCTCTCTCTCTCTCTCTCTCTCTCGAACGGTCCGTCGTTGATGGGCAATCCTGGGTACAAACTAGGCATGCCGGATTGGTACAAACTGGTGTCTCGGCTCAGGTGAGTCTCCTATCGGGACCCCGTCTACTCTCGTTCGCCCTGGTGCTCTATCACTGCAAAACAGTCCTCCAAGGGACATGCAGGCGTCCGGGGCGCCCAAGGGGGGCCACTCCAGGGGAGAGGCCTCGTTCACCTTCCCCAGGTACGAGAGCGCTTGTCCCCGTTGGAGTGTGATGGACCAGCGTTGCCGGAACTGGCTGAGCAGTTTTGCGGCTTGGTAGGAGCTGGGGTCGGCGTTGAAAAGGCGGCGGGCGGCCGTGTGTGCCAGGAGTTTGAGGAAGGTGGGCACCTCGGCGCAGGGGCAGCCGTATGTCTCTACCGCCAGCGGGAAAAAAGCCGACGTACTCCGCCCGGCTGCGGTAGTCGTCGATCTTTTTGTCGGCCTGCTCTCTGGCCATGTAGCCGCGGCCTTTACGGGCTAGCGGGTCTCGTGAGCTGACCGGGTCGGTGACGGTGACATCGCAGATCCACACCGCCCCCGAGTCCCGATCCCGGATGGCAAGGGTCGGCGGTTTTGCCGTCGACCGGGTTGTAGATCGCCGTCTCTTTGGTGACGATGAATTGGGCGTCCCGTGCCATGCGGATGCACTCGTCCCTGAGTGCGTTATGGGTGTCGGTGCGGCCGTGTCCGGTCCCACAGCGGAACAGGTGGTTCGGGAGTCGTGGGTCCAGGATCTGTACCCGCTTGGTGCAGTTGCACACCTTGGGTGCGGGGAAGGGAGGCCCAGGCGGAATGCCAGGGCTATGGCGAAGTGCGGGGGGGCGAGGCGGAGGGAGGGGAAGAGTGGGATAGCGAGGAGCCAGTCTCCTGCGCCATAACCGGTGAGGGAGAGGAGCCGTTGTGTGTGGCCGCTCTTGGGGTTGAGTTCCATCTCCCGGGTGGCCGCCAGCTGAGCAGCAAACCGTGCCGCGTGGACTTCCAGGGCGAGTCGGTGCTGGAGGGGCTCGTCTGAGGGCTCCAGGCGCTCGGCTCGCAGGAGCTCCAGGGCCGGGGCCGGGAGTGCTGCCTCACACTCCGCCAGCCAGGTGTGAAGTGGGGTGGGGCTGGTGTAGGGGGGTGCGAGAGCGCATGCGGCGGTCGCCAAGGGGCCGGTGGGGTCCGAGGGGAGGGAGAGCAGGAGCCTGTGTGCCTGGGCCACGCTGGTCAAGAACGCATGTGGACCGTCCACTGCTGGGTCCACTAAGCCCAGGCCCCCTAGGGAGGGTGGGAGTGAGGCCTGCTCCCAGGTGCGTGCAAGTTCCCGCTCTCCCCGTGGTGTCTGGAGTTTGCAGGAGCGGAGGAGGGTAAGGAAGAGCTCCCGCCCCCAAATGACCATTCCCCCTGTGGGAGCAGGTTCAGTGGGGTTGTGCGGGTGAGGTAAGATACCCGCCGCGCGACGCAGCGGTGGAGGAGGAGGGAGGCGGACTGGGGGTCCATGGCGGCGAGGGCGGGGAGCTGCCTGGCCATGTCAGCCAGCTGCTCGCGCAGGAACTGAGCCGCAGCCTCGTGGGGGCCGATGTGGCTGCCCAGGACCCGCAGTCCAGAGTCGCGGAACGGGATGCCGGGGGGTAGGAGGGAGGGAGGGGGTTGGGATTGGGACCAGGCCGCGCACTTAGATGGGTTGTGCGTGAGGCCCAGGGGGGTCAGAGCGTCAGTGAGGTGCGTGAACGCCGCTGTGCACACTGCCGGCTCGCCTAGCAGCGTGATGTCGTCAGCGTACGCTAGGCACAGGACGCTGGGGTACGCTGCGGCTGTCGCTTGCAGGGCGGGGTGCATGGCGGCGGCAAAGAGCAGCGGGCCCATAGGGTCCCCTTGCCGGACGCCTCGAGCGCTGAGCAGGGGCGGGCTGTTGAAGCCGGCGTCGAGGCACAGCTGGGAGGGGGCGCCGTACGAGAGTTGGACGAAGGGGAGGAGAGGGCGGAGGGGGGAGTTATAGAGGCCCGAGACGATGGCGCTGCGATCAACGCTGTTAAAAGCGTTGGTGAGGTCGATCTGCAGTAGGAGCGAGGATGGTCGCTCGGTGGCGAACGCGCGGGCCCCGTGGATTATTGCCTCGCCGCCGGCCTTCACCGCGACGCCGAACTGCACTGGGAGAAAGTGATTGCGCGCCCGATCCGCCATCGAGATGAGTCCTGCTTTGGCGGCAAGGCGGTGGAGGCACTCGCCCACGGCGATGGGGCGCGTGCCTCCGTCGGGTTTAGGGAAGGCGAGTAGGCGGCTGGCTGTGAGGAGTGCTGCTACGTCAGGAGTGGAGTCGCCCCGCAGCAATTGAGTTACGAGGGTGTGGAGCTTGCTGGCGACGGCGCTGTTGGCGAGGGCTGCATCGCGAATGTGTTCGAAGCACATTCCCGAGGGGCCCGCGCCGACCCCGTTTTCGCTGCGACTCAGTAACCTGGTGAACTCTGCGAGCGTGAGGGAGGGGGGGACCTCCGACTCGTCGATGTGTGGCCAAGCGAGTGACTCAGTCAGCGGCGGTGGATGCTTGGTTTTCAACGCCTCGAGGACTTCCTGGGTTGACTCGCTGACCGGTGTCGAGTCGAGGGCCAGCAGGGCGCGCCTCAGGCTGCCTCGGCGGACCAGCCCCTCGGCTCGAGATATTTTGCCGAGGGTGTCCCTGTGTGACGTGGCGCCGGTGGGTCGTGGATGGCGTCCACTGCTGCCAGGTAAAGCTCGTGCCAATCGCCTGCCAGGAACTGCTGGAGCCTTTTTTCCACGGTGGGCCAGTCAGGGTGCTTTGGCGAGTTGAGGCGAAGTGTCAGTCGAGGTGCGAAAAGTAACAGGCGCCAGCCTGGCAGGCTGGTAGGTTGGGCTGCGAGGTGGAGGAGGGGTGTCAGCAGGACGAGGGCGAAAAGCTGGCGAAGTTTGGGGGGGATCTTGCGGGAAAGGGGGGGTTGGCGACTGTTGCAGAGGAGCCCGATATCCCAGCTGGCTACCCCCGCGAAAAGCTGTTCGTTGGCGGCTAGCTCTGCTGGCGAAATTTGTCGCTGGGGTTGGCTGGTCTGTTCTGTGCGGTCCCGCTCGTTCCGTGCGTTCGGCCTGTTTTCAGCCGCGGGAGCTGGGGCGTGCCGTGTGCGTCGCGACGCTTGTCCCCGAAATGCTCCGTCTCGAGCGTCCCCTTCGGGTCCCTCAGTGCTTGACTCGTACTGTGATTCCTCTCTATAAGTCGGGTCCCTCCTCTCCTCCTCGTCAGTTGCTTGTTCCCTCCGTCTCGCCCTTAAAGCCCGTCCTGCAGCCCTCTGGAAGTCGTTCGCTGGCCCTCCCCCTGCCATGAGCTCGTGTGCCCTGCTGCGCTCTCTCCGTTGACCTCCACCCCGTCCCGGGTCTCCCTCGCGGCGTTTGTCGCGGCCCGAGGCGCGTCCCTGCCGTCGGTGGGTGCGGCGGTGAGTGCTCGATGGGAAGCGAAGGGGGGTTTCGCGGCCGTCAGGGGCGATCCGCCGATCTGTCGAGCTCGGCTGATAGCGGGCGCCCCCAAGATCTGGCGAGCTTGGCCGCCTACTCCGCGCCGTTGTGGGAGCGGGGGATCCCCCGCTCTCCGAAGCCAGCGGCAGTCCCAGACCCCGTGTGTTCCCGTGCGGGGAGTGGTTCTGGCGGCGCCTGCTCTGCGCGGCGAGCAGGGAGGGACCCTGGGGCCGAGCGCGCAGAGCGTAGCGGTGGCCCAGCGGGGTCGTCGCCTCGCCACCCGCTGTCTCGGCCGCCGTCACCGCGCCCGCCGTCTCGGCCGCCCTCCCCCTGTCTGCGTTCGTGCTATTCGTCCCCACGGCGTCCGTCGCGTCCCGCCTCCCCGCGTCCGCCGTCGCGTCCGGTCCCCGCGTCGGCCGTCGCGTCATTCGTCGCCGTCGCCACCATCCCACGCTCTGCCTCAGCGGCGGACCGAGCCGCTGTCCTTGCAGCTGCCGTCGCGTCACTCCCCCCCCGCAGCCGGCTCCCCGCCGATCTCCGGGCCGTCTTGGTCCGCCTGCTGCACAGCCCTGGGGGACTCCTGGGGGCGGCGGCCGTGCTGGACCGCGTCGCGGCCGTCGCGCCGGCCTTGCCGCGGACGGCGGCTCTTGAGCGCCAGCTGGCGACCAGCGCGCGGACCCTTGAAGGCATTCTAAGTGGCGTTCAGGCGCTTGCTTCGACCGCGCCGATGGGAGGGCTGCACAGACCGCGCCCGGTGCGTTGCACCGCGTCCGTGTCATCCGTTCCCGCCTCTCCTCCCCTCCGCATCCGCCGTCGCTGTTTCCGGCGAGTGCGCCCGTGTGTTTCCAGCCGGCGTCGGCGCTCCTGGGACCTCCGCCGTCTGTGTACCGCGGGGCTCGTCTTCCCATGGCGCCTCCCACCCTGGACACACCGGCGGCCTCCAGTGGAGCGCCCCGAGTGGCAACCACCTCCGCAGTCCTTCGTCCCCGATCACTGGGCTCCGGGGCTTCCCGCCCGTGCGTCGGGTGTGGGGTGTATGGGCCCTTCGTGCCACCCGTCGACTGGCGGTGTCCCCAAATGGAGTTGAGGAGGGGGCAGAAGCAGCGGAGACGGGGGGATGGAGTCGTCGGAGGAGATCTCCCCCGGGTTCCGTGCCCAGTCCCGGACCCAGCGCCCAGTGGGTACGCGGAGCCAACCGGGGGCGCAGGAGGACGGTCTGCCAGGCAGGCGGCAGACGGGGCAGGTGGTCGCGGTTCCAGCAGCCACGTTCCGTCGGATGTGCCAGACGAGGAGGGCGTTTGGGCTGCTGGCGGTGGTCGTGGAGGCGACGCACTCCGCGCTGCTGGGGTCAGAGAGCTCCCGAAAGATGCAGCACTCACACTTGCGGACGAGTTCGGACGCGCTTGCGGACCTCGTGGTGGTGATGGGGCAAGCGCTGCCCGTGCCCGGCCCGGGAAATGGCTTGGACCCGGCCGTGGCCGCCGCAATGAAAGCGATGTCGGAGAGCATCGCGTTGGCGTCAGCCGTAGATCTCGCAGGCAGCTGCGCGTCCACGCTGCGGGTGCTGGTGGGCCTACTGTCGGCGCAGCTGAAGAGGCCGCGGGGTTCGAGTGACGGGGTGGCGTCTCGCGTACGTTCGCGGCCGGCCCGCGTCAGCGGCCGTCTGGGAGGTTGGCGAGCGTCCCGTCAGTAGTAGGAGTCCCTCCATGCTGGTGGCATTGGAGCGGGCGCTGTAGGGATTTGTTGTGCCCTTGGGGCTTGGTGCTTGTATTGAAAACGGAGTAGTCGTTTCCTGGTGTTCTTGCCGTCCCGAACGCGCGGCCGGAGCCGCCGACGCGAGCCGCTGGCAAGGAAGGAGAAATGAGAACTGAACTAAAAACAGCGGAGAATGAGAGGGAGAGGGCCTTATTTAGCTTGGGAACCCATGCTCTCTCTCTCTCGCTCTCTCTCTCTCCTCTCTCTCGCTGGCAAGGAAGGAGAAATGAGAACTGAACTAAAAACAGCGGAGAATGAGAGGGAGAGGGCCTTATTTAGCTTGGGAACCCATGCTCTCTCTCTCTCGCTCTCTCTCTCTCCTCTCTCTCGCTGGCAAGGAAGGAGAAATGAGAACTGAACTAAAAACAGCGGAGAATGAGAGGGAGAGGGCCTTATATAGCTTGGGAACCCATGCTCTCTCTCTCTCGCTCTCTCTCTCCTCTCTCTCGCTGGCAAGGAAGGAGAAATGAGAACTGAACTAAAAACAGCGGAGAATGAGAGGGAGAGGGCCTTATATAGCTTGGGAACCCATGCTCTCTCTCTCTCTCTCTCTCTCTCTCTCTCTCTCTCTCTCTCTCTCTCTCTCTCTCTCTCTCTCTCTCTCTCTCTCTCTCTCAAGCCTAGCCCACAGGGGCCTAGGACCTGCTACCCTCACGGCTCCTACTCTCTCTCTCTTTCCTATCCTAGCCCTCAAGAGCCGTCGTGACTGGGGGGATCTGCTAGTCACGGCTGAGTAGACATGAGCAGGGTAGACATGGTTAAAATGCGATGCGATGCGATATCGCATCGCATTTTGTCATATCACGCCTGATATCTCAGCGATGCGATATCGCATCGCTGCGATATTCTGTTTAGAAAATTGAAATCGCATATCGCTTTTTAGGGTGCGATGTTACAAAACATCGCACCCATGAATGCGATATATCGCGCGATGCGATTTAATATCGCATCGCATTTAGGGGTCGGAGGAGAAAAGAAGAACGACAAGGCCGGCTTTCCTAGGTGCGCAAGGAATTAGGTGAGTGAAGTTTAACGGGAGAATGGGATATCGTAGCCCCTCTCTGATGTAAAGCGTGTTAGAGGGCAGGGGTTGGATTCCGTAGATGTGGAGGAATGTAGTGCGGTCGAAGTGGTGGAAATTGGTTGGACTTCCAACCAATTGACTTAGTGGGGGTCGAGATTTCAATCAACCCCCTAAATCCCTTCAACCGCACACCACCACATTCCATCCACCACCGCCCATGTCAAAATTTGAACCTCCAACCAATTCCCTTCCCTCAACCGCACTGCACTCCTTTTCAACCAGAATTTCCAACCCTTCCTCTCCAAGCTCCTCACAAACACCTCCCCGTCAATTACACCAACCCCAAACAGCCGCGCGCAATTTCTGCACGCCATTACAACCAGAGAACCCTATTTTTTTCTAAGTTCAGGGCCCGCGCCCATGTTCCCCCCCCTTTCTGGCACAATTAAGCAACGCGATATGCGGATGTATGGCGCGCGATATTTTAATATCGCATATCGCATTATATCGCGCTGAAAAATCCGCGATAACTGCGCAATATCGCAAAGATCGCGCGATATTATCGCATCGCATGGCTGCGATTTTTTACTTTAAAAAAAAAAAAAAATCGCAATCGCAAAATGCGATGCGATGCACCCATGTCTAGAGCAGGGGCCTTTAGGAGCCCTCCTGAGTGCTCCTGAGTAACGCCAGCAGTCACGATATTTAGCTAGGAGGGCTCCCACTCTCTCCCTCTCTCAAGCGGTCCTGCTCATGACGATGTACATAAAAATGTCGAGATGCGAAGTATTATGGTGATGGTGGTGAAGCCCTTACCCGTCCTAGTATGTGTTCAGTTTAGGAGCAAGCGGCATATGATGAACCTAATCTGAAACAATTCTCCGGTTGGCCGATCAAAGATCTGAGGCCAACAGAACTAGCAAAGCAAGCCTATGAACAACATGTTCACTTGCTTGTGTCTCTCTTCTTCCGACCCACGCCACACAGGGATCTCTCGTCCAACAGTATCACTGGCTCCATTCCCAGCAGCATCACCTCGCTCACTCAACTCGTTTTTCTGTACGAAGCTCATTCAAATCTCGCGGTCACTCTATGCCAGTGTTACATCGCTATTGCTTGTGACACCATCTCTAACACTCTCATCGATCCAGTTCCAGAGCATTGTTGGATGATCCCTGACAGGTTAAACAGCATGCACACCTTGTGGCAGCCACGTGTTCCGCATGCTTGCATGCACCTTCCTCCCATTCCAAGTACACGCTTCCAACAAATTTCCCTTGATTTCCCTAACTTGTTGTCACATTCTGTGGAACCCTAGTTGAATGTACGCTTATGAATTTTTACGTTCACGAACGTTTTCGTATTTTTTTAAACATTTTAACAACTGTCTTGTTTTTAGCTTATGTTACAGTGGTCAGCTTATGACATTCTCTGGGCTACCTAGATAGTGTCATGTTGCATGATTCCGCGTCAGAACCTGCGCATAATTTTTGCTATTGTTTTTTTTTTTTTTTTTTTTTTTTTTTTTGCTCGCCACTTGGACCAGAATTTCGGCATTCCCTTATTTACGCACCATGCCCCTTCTCGGCATTAAACTCTTTAACCTTTCTTTATACAGACTCCAGCACCTTTCCTTTCACACGCGTATTTGGACACACGCCATACCTCGTAGTCTTTTCGGATTCTGTTAACAGCCAAAACTGTGGTGTTGTCTTGTTTTTATCGCATTTGCTTTCGACCAACCGGCACATACGCTAAAGTTTGTTGCGTTTGACGCAGAAAATAACGCGCAAGTTAGGTTGACATTAGACATGGGTATATCGCATCGCATTTTATCGCATTTTGGAATTGCGATTGATATTTTTTGAAGTAAAAAATCGCAGCGATGTGATGCGATAATGTCGCGCGATTTTTGCGATATCGTGCAGTTATCGCGGATTTTTCAGCGCGATATAATGCAATATGCGATATTAAAATATCGCGCGCCATACATCCGCATATCGCGTTGCGGAATCGTGCTAGAAAGGGGGGGGAACATGGGCGCGGGCCCTGAACTTAGCAAAAATTAGGGTTCTCTGGTTGTAATAGGCTTGAGCAAAACCGGGTATTTACCCGACCCGACCCGGTTTTGCTATACCCGACTTCGGGTCGGGTAGTTACGGGTCGGGTACGGGTCGGGTAACATGCCCTGGACCAATACCCGGAACCGGGATTTGGGGGCGGGTAAATTAATACCCGCCTGGCGGGTCCGGGTATACTCAAGGTGCAAAATTTCGGCAGGCGTTTTTTTCCATGGTTTTTTTCGATCGTTTTTTTCGGTGATTTTAGGAAAAAAACGCCGAATTTTTAATAGAGCGTTTCGGGTGTATTTTGTTATGAAGTTCTAAACGTCCACCAGATCTGCGCATTTCGTCCGCCAAAACGCGAGATCCACACATTTTGGTGGGAGAAATGCCAGATCCGCACATTTTGGCAGGCGAAATGTCAGATCCGCGCATATCAGCGGGCGAAATGCCAGATCCGGACATTTCGCTTGTATTTTTCATTTTTTTGAAAAAAAAACGGCCGAATTTTTTTCACCAATAATTTTTTTTTTCCAAACCGTTTTAATTCGTATTATACGTTCGTTTAATTCGGTACCGTACCATACGGTCTCAAAAGGAAAAAAACGGCCGTATTTTGTACCTTGGGTATACCCGACCCGGTTTCCTTGAAAAGCGGGTAGTAGTACCCGCGTTTTCCTACCCTGTTGGGCTACTAAACCTATGACCTAGATAGTGCTTAAAAAACGTCAGTTGCGGGAGGGAGTATGAGGTGCGCCAAATCTTTAACAGCTCTGGTGTGGTGAGTGGGGCGTGAGTGGGGCCTGAGTGGGGATTTGGTTGGGTTTTCTAGTTGGGATGGGGTTGTGTGCGGTTTTAGGGGGTTTGATTCTTTGACCCCCAGAGTCAACTGGTTGGAAGTCCAACCAATGTGGTGCTGTGCGGTTGGTTGGATTCAGGTTGGGTTGCAAATTCGATTGGTTGGAATTCCAACCAATTTCCCCCAATTCAACCGCTCTGAATACATCTGGATCTACGAAATCCAACCCCTGCCACTCTACAATGCTTTACGTGACCTAGCAGCTACATAACCTAAAAACTTGCTGAAATTTCTCTACCATCGCGATCAATGTCGCGCTGGTTCCGTCGGGTAGACGCGCTACCCGATTTCGGGTCGGGTACCCACTACCCGACGTGTCAGGTATCATTTCGGGTAGCGGGTATTGAATACCCGCCCGGGTAACCCGGACCCGACCTGCCGGGTAATTTTCAGGATTCCCGATACCTGACCTGCCCTAAAAGCGGATCCGGGTACCGGGTACCCGACCCGGGCGGGTAGTATGCTCAAGCCTAGGTTGTAATGGCGTGCAGAAATTGCGCGCGGCTGTTTGGGGTTGGCGTAATTGACGGGGAGGTGTTTGTGAGGAGCTTGGAGAGGAAGGGTTGGAAATTCTAGTTGAAAAGGAGTGCAGTGCGGTTGAGGGAAGGGAATTGGTTGGAGGTTCAAATTTTGACATGGGCGGTGGTGGATGGAATGTGGTGGTGTGCGGTTGAAGGGATTTAGGGGGTTGATTGAAATCTCGACCCCCCACTAAGTCAATTGGTTGGAAGTCCAACCAATTTCCACCACTTCGACCGCACTACATTCCTCCACATCTACGGAATCCAACCCCTGCCCCTCTAACACGCTTTACATCAGAGAGGGGCTACGATATCCCATTCTCCCGTTAAACTTCACTCACCTCATTCCTCGCGCACCTAGGAAAGCCGGCCTTGTCGTTCTGCTTTTCTCCTCCGACCCCTAAATGCGATGCGATATTAAATCGCATCGCGCGATATATCGCATTCATGGGTGCGATATTTTGTAACATCGCACCCTAAAAAGCGATATGCGATTTTATTTTTTGAAACAGAATATCGCAGCGTTGCGATATCGCATCGCTGTGATATCACACGCGATATGACAAAATGCGACGCGATATCGCATCGCATTTTAACCATGTCTAGTTGACATGGCTTACATAGGATCTGAAGCGATGTAAAAACCGATTTTCCAACACAAGTTCTGGAAATTTTGGGTTTTTGTGGAAATTCGGTTTCACCCTCTGAAGACATGGTTCTCGATCCATTTACTCTATGGAACTTTCTGCCTGGCTCTGAGAATACCCTGCCCTCCTTCCCTCCCCTTTCTCCCTCTTCTTTGCACGGACTATTCTTCTCGGGCGAACAGAAATATAGGCGGGAATCTCTTGGATGGATCCATTCCAGACTCTCTTGACTCGATGGTCGTGTTGATGAATCTGTAAGTATCATGTCAACAGTTGCTAGGGTGTTAGAGCCAACTGACGATTACGCTTGATGGCTTTTCCCTTTCTTGGTCCGGTGTGTGTTGAATTTGTGAATTAATGTTTTATATCAATGATCCTCCTTCAATCTATCCCTTTTATTTCTCTTCCTTGGTTTCTTTACCCCTGGTTTTCCATCCTTGCTTTACCCATGGGTTACACCATTACTCTTTACGAACTGTCAGAAATATGAGTGGAAACCACTTGAAAGGGTCCATTCCAACTACTCTTGGCAGCATGGGCAGCTTGAAGTTTCTGTGAGTATAGACATTGGCAGCAGTACTGCCACTACTTCCATTGCAGTGCCTGCAGTTCTGTTCACAATAGCAGGAACCTTGCTTGAGTCATCCTTAAGTTTGCAGATGTTGACTGATTCTTTTGCCACACATTTCTGTATCAGCATCTTCATTGCGAAATATGTTGGTCCAAACCACCCAACCCAACTGTGGAAGGACAGTTAGAAACGTGGATGCACAGGTTTTGTTTCCCAAACCCTTGAGTGTGATTATGACACGAGTTTTAGGACACATATAACCGTTCTTCGCTTTGCACCTATGTTTAAATGAGCAGGTACATGAATGATAACCAGCTCACTGGGAGCATTCCGGGCTTCATCAACCCAATGAATCTGACTGAACTGTACGTACATGTCTGTATTTTGTTATTCCACAAGCACGATCTCAAAGGACGTCATGCAAGTGCATTGTTACAAGTGAAACAGCAGTCATAACTTGGAGACTGAGAGCACCTGGCATACATGCATACACACACACACGCACACACGCATGCATGCATGCATTCCTTTGTAGTGTCCACAAGTAAGGACGAACGGTTATCAGGTTTGAGTACTATTGCAAGCTAAGTCTTGTCAGGAACAACATGCTCATCAGTGTATCATTCAATCTGCCGCACGTACGAGCATGTAATTAATGTATAATCGCTGGTGTACATTATGTGCACGTCGAAATGGCCATATGTCATAGCAAATGCTCCGAGAAGATGCTGGAACTGGTTGCCTTTTGGCCCTTGAGTGCAGGCTCCTCATATTCGACTGGGCGTTGTCAGCTTTGCCACGATGTCAAGATTGTAATGTTGTATATTGTCCTTATTGCACGCTGTGCTTCCTCCTACTGGTTATACTCTTTCTCTCGCTACATATGGTCGTTGTTCTTCTCCTGTCCATCAGGGTGTTGAGTGGGAATCAGCTGAGCGGCCTCATCCCCCCTCTATTCATTCCTGCGAACAGCTTCAACGTCTGTGAGTTTCCAGTTTGCTCATTCTACAGCCGCTGCTGTGTGCCATGGATAAGCAGCAGGTTGTGGAGCAAACAGTGCTACTGCTACCCTTGCCACGGTTTTTGCTAATGTTGCCACAGTTTTTGAGAGGTGCTGATATTCAGCTTGAACAATCTAAAGATGCCTTGCCATGTGGTCAGTCTACAAGACGCCAACAGCACGCAAGGAAAATGCATCCATTTCCCTCAATTGTATTCCAGGTGGCTCGACAACAATTCGCTGAGCGGGATCCTTCCATACTCTCTTGAGGTCATGTCTCAGCTTACCTCCTTGTATGAAAGTAACAGGTTATACGTCATGGTGATGTGTCGTACATCTTTGGTTGTTGCAATTCTGTCAAGCAGTCAGCATTCTAAACGTAACCCTAACGGACAAGCATCCCTGAGAGGCGCACAACAGTCTCACGGCCCCATACACCTATCTACAAAATCCTTTTGGCTGCAGGAGAATCAATGACACGAGCCTCAACGGAACGTTGCCAACGTTTCTTGGGAGTTTCAGTTCCCTCGATTCACTGTACGTGAAGCACTAGCCATCCACCACATGGTCCGCACCGCCCATGGCATGGAGCTATGCATGGTGGGTGCAGAGCATGTTTGCTACAAATCGTAGGTGATTTTTGAGTCGACTCAAAAAGCATGTTTGCTACAAATCGGAAACAGCATCTGAGGCTCTTCAAACTGACCAAATCTTTGTGGCAAAGTGTGCTGGGAGATGTTGAAGATGGTAGGTAGGTATGGCTACGGGTAGGAGCACATCGCAAAAATATTGTGTGCAAAATGTGTCTGAAAAGTGTCTAGACTAACACAAACCGGTCACTTTTCAAAGCACCCTGCAGTGTCTCTGTTGGGTCTTGGTGTGTCACACAGAACGAACACAAATTGAACACTTTTTCTGGATCCGAAATGTGTCCGAAATGACTCTTGCCTGAATAACATTTCTACATTGCCCGTTCATTCGCTACACCATTCAATACACGCAAAATGTTCATGAAACTCTTACTTATAAGCAATGTTATTACAAACCAAGGCGTACGAAAAATACAATTACAACAAAGCGGCTAACTACTAGTGCAGAAGCACAAAGAGCTCATTTGTCAGCCATATTATGCCAATGCCAAGGGCTTCAAACAACATCACCTGCGTGCAAAACAGAAGTACGTGACATTAGGCCAAGGTGCAAAACGCCGATTTTTTTTAACAATCCCGTGTAGACATGAGCAACGAGGCGAGCAACGAGACGAGGTGCATTGGGAGGCAAATAGGTCTGTAGGGCGACCATTAGAGCCACTCCAAGCACGCCTGTTAAAAGCCAGCAAGCTCCGGGCCGGGAGGAATGGGCCGCTCAACACGTGGTGGAGGGAGGGGGAAGAAGAGGGGCCGCGGTGCTGGTGCCCGCGGCGGAGGGGAAGGGAGGGGTGGTAGAAAGGGAGAGGGAGAGGGGGATGACGGGGGATCCGCGCCCACGGCATCGCAGCAGCGTCAACATTAGTGCTGCCCGGGGGTGGGGGCGACTTTGGTAGCTAAGGTGTACAAAAACAGTCGTTCCTCTAGGTGTTTTGTACATTTCTGCCCAATTCCCAACAAAGTTGCCAAAACGAGGCGAGGATTCCTCGCCTCGGGGCGAGGAATTTCCCTGGGGGCGAGGAAAAAAATCCTCGCCCCTAAACCCGAGGGACGAGGGTTTTTTTTCCCCAAAATTCCTCGGCGAGGAATCCTCACCTCGCCTCGTTTGGGGGGCGATGGTTGGAATTCCTCGGCAAGGAATCCTCGCCTCGCCTCGTGCTCATGTCTAATCCCGTGCTGTACGGTACCGAATGTTTCGACCACTTCAAATGTTTAAAAGCAGTTCCAAGTATGGTTGATATGTTGGTGCAAAAAACGGTCGTACATTTTCACCGTATTTTCACGTAGGTGTACACAAACAAAGATCGATATGCTTATCGAACTTTGCGACCCATCCTCGGCTAAATGCGCGGTCCGGGATTTTTCCGGAGCATGCATTTTGCCGAATCTCGAACCGCGCGACCAACATTTTCTGCCGCGGCTGTTGCGAAATCTAGAACCGTTTCGTCGCGCACGGTTCTGAATTTCGCAACGGCAAGGAAAGCGTGGTGAAAATTTGTAGTTCGCGGCACGCCAACTAAACCAACAAGTAAAAATCCCGTCATTAGGGATTCCAACCCAATTCGACCCAGCCACAAACGGCCCACGCCCCATGCCCTACGCCCCACACCCCACTCCCTCCATCAAGGGCTTTCTGGATTTAACAGAGGATAGCCCAAGTACAAAAACAGAACCAGAAATACTAGGTAAGCTCACTAGCTAGTTAAAAAATGGCAGCACCCAGCCACTTCTTTACCCCTGCAGAGCGAGGCGGTCGGCCGGAGATGCGGAGGATTGGTAGAAGGAAGATCAGTAGGAGGAGTGGGAGGAGGAGGATGAGGAGGATTTCCTATCCTACCTCAATGTTGTGTGTTTTCGCGTGTAGGGAAGATGCCTAGCCCCCCCTGGATGTTGTTGTGTTGTTTTTTGGCAGGGAAGGAAAAAAAAAAAAAATCAGACTTGAGCCCATAAAAGAAAACTGTGTTTTTTCCCCCAAAATTATCGGAAAAAAACAGCCTTTTTTTTCGGACTGTATTTTACCGCAACCGAAATTTTGCACCTGGGATTAGACTCTAAAGGGGCGGAGATCTTGGGCAGCAGTTAAGGGAACGCCTTGGTCAATGCCACACAGCATGTCGTTGCTATATGCGTCATCCACCATACGCAAGGCAAGTGCTGGTGGCAGGGGAATAAGAGGGAATACAATGATGGATGCTGCGGTCCTTGACAACTGCTGCAACCGTACAATCATACTAACGAGGAAAAAAAAAAACCAGGCAAGAATGCATTAGTCAATAGGGTGGAAGGGTGGAAGGCTACGAATGGTAAAATTACAAAGCGACGAAAACTGCAAGCCACACACATCTTCCTCGTGGATGCAGTGAACCTACTGGTCAACACTACGTCTCGCGCCAATGCCCCATTGAAAGGCGGCAAAATCGTGCATACATTTGTTTAAAACACATGGGAGGCGATGTAAGCGACGCAGTCATTGCTCGGTTACGGATTTCCAATTGGCAGCAGTCTGAATAGAAGGACTGCAAAATGCGAACGAAAGAACTCGTGACGAGACACACTAAATTGTGGCGCCATAGCCTTCCTAGATTGTGAAGCCATGCCATGCATAGTTATGGACATCTAGCGGGGAAAATGGGGGAGTCCGCACGTTGGGAACAAATGAAGAAGTGTGGGCTGATATGGGATGGCTGCTGCAAAGGGGTGGACTGGAAAGGTGAGACGGTTGGTTTGCTTGGATGCTGAACTGTGGTTGGTTGTGGCGAATATCTGTGAGGTGCTTCTGAACGCCACGAAAGATGGGTTATGTTGACTGGGCAATTTGGCGACCTGTGGTTGGCTCACACGGTTCATTCAAAATTCCATGCGATAAGGTTCGGCTCACTGCTGGTTTCAATGTACAGTTTGTTGTCCCCGAAACAAATTTCACGAAGACCACATGCTCGCGAGGCGAACTTTCACAAGAGCGAATTTTCGCGTGACAGTTTTTTCTCTGCGAAATTTCGCGCACACTCACAATTAGACATGGGCAAAAAAATCGCATCGCATCGCGTTTTTGCGATTGCGATTTTTTTTTTTAATCATCGCGCGATGCGATGAATTGTTTATCGCGCGATTTAATTTAAATCGCATTTAAATCGCGCTAAAAACGCGATTTAAATGCGATGTGCGATTTTTTTTAAACTGCGCGCGATGTCGCACTGAAACCCACTCTGAAACCCACTTCGAAACCACACTAGTTATTTGCACTCTAGCTTACGACTGCCCGTGATTCAATTTCCCGGCAGCCATGGTTTTTTCTTTCGGGGTTTTTTTTTATTATTCTGTTTTAAAACGCGATGCGATTTAAAATCGCATCGCGCGATTTAATTAAATACCGCATGCGGTTTTAATATTCATCGCGCGCAAAACGCGATGTGCAGTTTTTTTTTTTTCCAGAAATTAAATCGCGCGATGCGATTTAAAATCGCATCGTATTTAATTAAATCGCCCCCCAATGCGATGCGATTTAAATCGCAATCGCATTTTGCCCATGTCTACTCACAATCGCGACTCCGCTTCGGATATTCGAGATTTTGCCTTCTGGCATGATTTTGGCTCAATTGACG